TCAACATCATACAGGTGTCGACACGTCAGCGTTTCCTCACCGTAACGCTGATCCCCCATGTTAAATAGTGCACTCCAGGAGAACCTAGAGGTGCTGCAAGAATCAGTCTCTGTATTCCTCCAATATACTACTTGTTCCTAGGCATCTTCATCTTACCTAGTTGACAGGCTCTATCCTGCAAACACTAGACCCCTCTTCTTTACAGATAGTAAGTAGTCGCTAAAAACGCTATCGAACTACGTCTAATTACAAAAATAAGCTTCCTTAATTAAAGCTTTACTAAAGTAGCGCTCAAAAAGTCTACTAAGCCCGCTTAATTCTACGATAAATCAAGTTTTAAAAGCCTATTAAATCACGATATAATCGGCAGCTATTCTTAAGAAAGAAATAGGCGATTTACGCGTTAAAAACGAGAAGAAGAAGCGAAAAAAGACTCGGTCTACAAGTCAAATGCTCTTAGTTTTAGAGGCCTCTGCCTTAATAGCGCAGCTAGAGTAAGCAGTTTTAGCAGAAGGATCCCGTGAGGTAGGGCCAGCTCCGGCACCTTCTTAGCCGCGTACGAGGGCAAAAACGAAGTGTAGTGTATGTGGAATTCAGGGTTATAGAATAACTACATGTCCTAATAGACCTCGAGTTTAGCTTATTGAATTTAATGGCGTTTTGGTTGAGATAAATGCATTTAAAATGAATAGACCGGTGTAGGTGGCCCACTCGGTAGGGGTGGCCCACTCGGTAGGGAAATACGTTAACTTTAGTTTCTCTTTGTCTTACCTAAGAGTAAGCTATTTAATACCCGTGTAAGATTTTAAAGAGAACGAAGCCTATTAAAGCCGTACTAGGAAAGGTAGCTAGTAGTGCTATAATATAGTGACGTATAGAAAGAGAAACGATAGGAGAATAAGGGTATATAGCGGAAGGGGTTTATAAGTCAGAGATTAGGGCTTACGATAATAATAGGATAGGGCTAAAAGCCTTATAAGTAGGCTTCTCTAGAACCTAACTTTAGACCTAATCTTAGTATTACTAAGGACCGAAGGACCTAATCTCGACCTAATATTTTATATATATATATAAATAGTACTATTAGGAAAAGTTTTAAACACGTATTTTCGATTTAATAAGCCCACTATATAATCAGACGTCTTATTACTATACAATAGTAGATATCGAAAGGCTATAAAAGATAAAACGAGTGTAGAGCTATATATATTACGATAATATTATTATTCTTATAAATTTTATCGAACTCCGGCAAATAATGGCGATTACTATTAAGTATTAGAACTTAATATTTTTCCTTTATTTAAGCGATTATCGAAGGAGAAATAAAGAGCTTTCTAAGCTAGCGAAGGCTAATTTTATCGGAATTCTATCCGTTTAGACTAACTTTAAAGCGCTAATCGTCTAGAACGCTATCGATCTAAAATTTAATATAGATCTTACTTTTAAATATTACGTATAGGCGGAGCAGCTATCCTAATAATTTATATATATTATTTTAGTAGGCTACTCGCCATTTCTAGGGTATAAAAGTGCTTGCCGGCTACAGAGTTAAACGCGATGTTTAAAAGTCCGAGTAGCGTAAGTAATAAAACTTATTTCTTTTTCTTAGTAGCCTACATAGCTAATAAGTTCCCACTATCTTACTCTATATAATTAAGAATAAGTACGAGTACGTAGTATAGTAGGTAATTAAATATTATATACCCATTTTCGATATATTCTTAGATAGTATAGCGGCTCGTATATAGTAGTAGTTTATATATAAATTACGTTAGGTCATAGCTATACAACGTTTTAAAGGGTAAGAGCCCTATATAGAATCTACGCTATTATAAGAAGGGTTAGCTACTTAAATTATTCTATATTAACAAAGTACTAAAGATAGCTCTCTAATACTTAGTTTATATATTTTCTTTTACTATTATACGGTCCGAATTAGAGCTTAATTTATTAGTAGAATACCCGAGGTAATTATATAATATTAATTATAGATAAGGTAGGTAGGGATACCGCGTATTTCGAGAATCTATCCTTAATAACTAATATCGCGTTAACGGTGTTATCTATATATATTATCTGTACTAAATAGGTAGTAAGTCTATTATAAGTCACTAAAAGGTCGCTAGGCAATTAATAGCGGTTATAGCTCGCTATAAGGTCGATAATTTAGCGTAGCGGCTCTTTGGTACACTATATATTCTTTACTATATTAGCCTATAATAATTTAGTAACATAGGTTTAACTCAGATAACTTATAAGGGGGTTATTACAGTAAGTCTCTCTCTCCCCCTATCCTTTCTCTACCAATAATATTAATATATTATTACTTCCTTTCCTATTATTAAGATTCCTACGCTACCTTAACTTACGGTTAGCGACCTTATAGCGTATATATAGGTCTTTATATTATATTCGCTTAATAAGGGACTTAAATCTATTATACTATCTAACCTACAGATATACTTATATAAGCAGAAGTGACGTGTGCTTAGGGGTTATATCTTATATAATATATTATATTATATAAGCGACGGTGAGGTAAGGTGATAGTCACGATAGTTGTCGACGGTGAGGTGTGAGAAGGTTATAATATTTAGGTAAGGTAATTGATGGTATCACTTGATAGTCAAGAAAAATAAAAGTAGATGATAGTTCTTTTTTTCTTAGGACCCTTCTTCGAGGTCCTATATATAGCTAACTAGCTTACCTAATAGAACGACGTAGAATCGTGAAGTTCTATAAGGTATTTCAAATCATAGGTCATAGGATCACTAGTGCAATGATCATAGATCATAAGATCACTAGGATCATAGAAGGCTATAAGGTTTAAACCATTAATAGACCTAATAATAAGCATAGCTAATAACCTTTTATATTATAAGCTTTTCGGATCTAAGCCTTAGATAAGATATAGCTTAGATATACGCTTATACTAACAACTTAATTATATATAATCTTCTCTAATAGTTCAACCTATAATAGCGTGTTCTTCTAAGACTAGTAATAAAACTACATAGTAGTAATTAACGACTGTTCTAGAGGCCCTATAATAGCGATACACTTAGTAGTATAGAGATAATAGTTATCTCTTCCTCCTAGAATATAGTCGATAGGAGTATACGTAATAGTATAAAGGCACTAAATAATATAAAATTACTTAATAACTATTTACGGGATTAGTCTTACTAGCGTGATACTTTATAGTAAACTTAAGGAGTTAAAAATATAAGTTATCTTGCCTATCTACTATTAATCTTAAGCTGCTTTATAAATATTCCCGTTAGCCCTAGGAAGGACTAGTGTTTAGTCTCTTAATATAATATAACTAGGGCTTCTATCTCGATTACCTATCTAAACCTATAGACTACTATATAGTCTTATAGAACCCTCGATAATATATATAGAAAAGTAGACTACTATATTGTTTTAGCATAGATAGGATAGAGGCCTCTACTAGAACTTTTAAGGGTTAGATACGACTATTATTAAGATTCTTATCTAGATAGGACTAAAGCTCTTACTATTCTATCTAAGAGGGGGGGGTAAATTAGGCTATATAGCGGTATTTCGCTATCTTTTATCTTAATAATATAATCTATTACTTTATAAGATAATAGGTCAGTGATTTTAGGAGCAAATATATAGTAATAAGTTAGTAATTCGTTAGGAAGCCGCTTATTTAAAATAGGGTCTTCTAAATTATTATTTAGAACTGTACTTCTTTAGGGACTTTTACTATTATATATATATATATATACACGTAATTCTAGTACTCCTTTATAAACTAATATAAGGTAGCTATTAAATATAATAGTATTATATACTACCACTAATATTTATATAGCGAAAAGTAGACGTATTTATTACGTACTATTATTACTAATAGGAAGACTAGACTACCTGCTTTAAGATAGGTCGCGATCGATAGCTAGGTAACCTATTTTAAAGGTATAAGTACCTCTATAGATCCGTTACTATAATAAGGAGTACCTATATCCTATAAGGTATCGATCTTTAAATAATTATTAGGACCTCTAGGTCTAATAGACTACGTAGGTGACTAATTATATTAGTTAGTATATAAGCTAAACGCGTACTTGATATAATATGAGTATAATTGCCTAGTAGTAGCTATAGTAGGCTTTTTAGTTTATATTCTATTTTATAAGCTCTTATAGTAAGGTCTAATATTAATAGCAAAGATAATATTAAGATCATATAACCTATAATAGTTATAAGTATAGCTAGATAGTCCGCGGAGATCTAAAGCTTATCTTCTTCTCTAACTTTCTAACTAATAAATTGCTATTATTATTTACTCTTTCTCTACCTACTAAAAGATAATAATACCTATAAGTAATACGCGATAAAGTCTATATTATTAAGAGTTAGCTCCGCTATTAAAGTTTATTTATATTTAATATTATTCTATATAGTAATTATAATATGGGCGGATTATAGTCCTGATTTATCTTATAAGGTTAGCGTTCTAGCTTCTATATTAATCCTCTAGCTTTTCTTAATTAAATAAACTATTACTAATTAGAATCTAGTAAAAAAAGTTATTATCTCTGTTCTTAGTAATATATTAATTCATAAATAAAAGTAGCTATTTAGTTTTTTTTTGTAGGGTTAAAATATTGTTTCGCTAGTAATTGTATAGCTCTATTAAATTTACGTTAATTTAATATATTCTAGTAGTTATATTTTAATTATTATCTTATCCTACCTTTTTAGTAGATAAAGTATAGTATTTTAAATACGCGATTAGAGGTAAAGCTAAATTTTAGTAAGAACCTTAAAAGTGAATAATAGTGCTTTAAAATATTATCTAAGCTATAGAAGATAGGAGTTACAATTGCTTATACTTTAATTTAGGCTTTATCAATACTCTTATAAAGAAATAGGGATATTAGCTTTTATTTAAATATAGCTAAGTTAATAGTAACGAAAGGGAATAGTTCTTAAATAAGTCCTATATTATTTTATAAGGGATTTAATAAGGTTCCGCTTTCTCTTGGATATAATATTACTATCTTTTATAGTAGTTAGAGCTTATATTTAGTAGTACTAAGGATCTTTCTATTGTCTAATCTATACATAAGGTCGTACATATAAATATATAACTAAAGGATATTAAGCTAGCTCTAGCGTTATATTATATAATATATCTTAAAAACGAGAGCCTAAATATCTCTAGAATCTTGTCTTTATTTAGATAATATAGAGGAAGAGCGTCGATAGCGATATAAAATTAATATCTTAGTTATATAATCTATCCCTTCTTTAAATACCCTTTTCTAA